GCCCCCCCCCCCCCCCGGGGGAGTCGGAATGCGGCGCTTGGCGCCACTTTACTCACGTCGAGAGTCGAACCAGACGACGGCAAGACTTGGGCAAACCCCGTTTCGGGGTTAGGGTTATTTAAGTCCGTACTCTCCGGGCCTTCAGCCGGCGCCAATCCAGCGCTCATGATCATCTCGCCGACTCCTGGAGCGAATTGCATGATGGTAAGGCAGAAGTTTCGGTGATTAAGATGCAACCAGCTGAGCTCTGACTACTTCCGTACCCTTGTCATGGCCTACTAACATCGACACCGCTGGCGGCGTATCCGAGTCTCAAGGAGCATTGTCATATTATCTGATGGCAGTGGCCAAGAAGTCTGAGCTGAATGATGAGTTATCAAGGGCGGAACGAGCTGCAAATAGTGTTCACGACCCGCGAGCAGCAGGATGGGACCACTTCGCTGAGAAGAGTCGTAGGTGTTTTTTGTGTTACAGATGATCTGCTCTGACTTTCATGGTGCAGTTGATGAACCAGACGCCGTGACAGGCTATAATAGTGACATGCTTGGAAGTTTGAAGTCTGAGATCATGAACCTGGCTGAAAATGTTTTTGACCACTTCGTGGGCACGAGCAAAGTATTGGTTGATGCTCTCAACGAGTTATCAACGGCGCACCCATTCATTCGAGGTGAATCTTCGCCTCACACTTATCCTGTACCGGATTTCATTTTCCATGTTGACTGCGACTTCCAGTGGCTTTCCTTGCATTCAAAGCGGTAATCGAGTTGGACATCAAGAGGCGGGAGAATGACAAACGGATCCTTGCCCTCAGATACCAGATGCAAGATATGATGTGTGAAATCCTGATGTACTGTTGACCTCTTTCATTCACCATGGCTCGGTTCTTAAACTATGTTATGGACTAGCATATACCAAGTCGCAATCCCTCAAGAGACGATCGAACAGCGGCTCTCAAAGAGAATGGAAGACATTGCGAACGATATAGAAGGATGTGCGAACACGTGCAATGTGTGGACAAAGAAAAGGACCATAGGTTAGCTACACGTCCCTTGTGGTGCGTGGCTTGTACTCATAACCATTCTTTCCAGTCAAGGTCTTCAAGAGTCCTGGATGGGAGCGTAAATTCAACGATTATGTGGAAACCTTCCAAAAGCACCAGGTCAGTATCCACGCAGATCTCGACCTGCAGGTCAGCGCAGGGATTAGTTCAGCCAACGAGGCCATCGCCCGAGTCAAGTCCAAAGTGGACCTGATAGTCTTCCATCTTCTTCGTTCCTCGGCGGAGAAGGACGTAGTCTCTCACATGGACAGGAAATCACCTGAGGCATATTTGAAGAATGATAAAAAGCTCTTATCTCTGATCAGGCTCAGCAAGCAAAAGGTCATCGAGAGGAGGAGAGATAAGGGTGCAGGGGTGTCCAGCCGCAATCACAAAGACGTTGATGATGAAGATGGAATAGAGGTCAAACTTCTGGTGGATATCAAGCATGAAATGGCTGTCAGGGCATGGCTCCCACACTCGCCTCATGTCTCATTGTTCTCTCTTTTCTGCTTCCGCTTCTGTCCCATTTCGTTCATTCCCCCTAATACTTCCGTCTCCCTATTCGGTCACGCTCTCCCGCACCCTCCTAGGCCTCCCGCGCCCTCCTTTTCGCATCTCCCCTATTTTGTTCCGTCGCTCGGTGCTCCTAGGGCCTCCGCACCTGAGCGGCCTTCCTAGGCCACTCCACCGGTCACGTGTCGGGCGCCTGAGGACCCTCCTCTTCTCCCATTGGACCATCTTTTGTTGCGCTGATGGATTATTCAGCTACTATATAGTCGCCTGTCGCACCAGGGAGCAACCCAGACTTGTTCTCTCAGTTGCCTCCCTGCCTTGTGCGACAGGTATGTGTACTTCCCCTCGTATCTTCGTATATATACTCAGTTGCCTCCCTGCCTTGTGCGACAGCGTCTCCACTGCCGTCCCGGGGGATCCGTGCCGCTCCTAGGAGCTCCAGCGCGTACTCTGACATACACCAGCCTCTACAGATGCCAACCTAGACCTGCCACTATCTGAACATGATGTCCATGATCACATCATTCCTAATGGTCCTGGACTGCCTATAACCAAAAGGAGCTACAGTGACTTTGTGGGTCATGGACAGCAGATGGTAGTTGCCCGCATGTGGATGACTTCATTGAATAATTTTTTCTTTGTGAGAGTTAGTTGATGCTCTTCTCACAACATACATGTATTTGGCTTATGCTGTTTTCATCACAGTTGGAGGATCCTAGTGCTGATAAGGTGTTACTAGAGCAGTTAGCTGTTGTAGTGCTGAGGGAGACAAGACAGGCAGTTCACAATGTGAAACAGCTGGAGACAGACCCAACTTGGTGTTTCGTACTGAAGGTTGTTATGTTCTCTTCACTGTGATTTGCTTTACTGAAATTGTTGTCATAGCAATCTGGCCTTGCAGACATTATTGTCGATATTGCTCAGCTTGACACTTCTTTAGAGCGTCATGACTACATGAAGCACTTGTTTTTGTATTACCGTTGGAAGGAGACACTATCGCACTGCTTGGAGATATGGACACCAGTCAGGATCTGTGCTCTACCTTGTGTGGAAACTGGTCGTGCTATAAACAAGGGTCAACATACAGTCTGTCAATGTTCATTTACAGTATTTTACAATAAATGACATGGTATTTAGAAACGGCATCAATTGGCCAGGAATTGCCTACATCTCATCGATCTCCATGTCCCATTTTCCTTGCGTCCTGAAGAAATATATTTTCTGCTGTCACAATCGTGTTTTGATTCTGCATTGAACTCTTGGATTTTTCCCTCTTTGAAGAAGGCTGGTCAGTTGGTAAGTTTTTTTTGTTTCTGTTTTGTATTGAGATTTATGGTTATCTGGCTACAGTTCAAATGGCCAGACTGTGACACGGAATGTAGTGTTGACGACGTATGGGAGGCTATTTGTGTTTGGTTGGGCTTACTCAACAAGCATAAAGCTGAACTCTCAACTACATTTTCCCCTATCATGCGACAGGTTATACTCTGCACCATGGATTACATCAGAATGACCAAGATGGACGATAAACAGAAGGATAAGGGGGGGAATAGGACCATTCATACATCCCCAAGTACCGATACAACTATCTTGCTGCAAGCTGCAAGAAGTGTGAAGATTTACCTCAGGAGGACCAGTGCTACCATGAAATCCATGTCTGTCGTCATCATGTTTCTGGATACAACCGATTGTTTGTGGTTGCTCATTGTGTAGGGGACAAATTGGCACATTAATCATGTTCCCTAATGCTTTCTGTTTATTGATTGGAATATAATTTCAGACTGATCCATTCCGTGTTGTCGATATGAATGGCTCAGCTTTACCTCCATTGGATTTGAAAGCAATTGAAGCTCAGCCTGAAGTAATTGCCCGCTGTGGACAAGATACATTTGTGGTTTTGGCGGATGATGAAGACATATTTGAGCCAGTGTGTTTTTTTCTGTGTACGTTCAATCATCATTTGCTTATTTAGGCCAGGTTGCTGCCAGTGCATTTTCTGTGGTCCCTAAGGAGGGGTTTAGTACACTGTCAGCCAACTTTAGAGCTCTTCATGGTCTGCCCCAAGTCAAGTGTGGCAAGGGGCACAACTTTGGTGAGATGCATGTCACTGGAGCACGAGTTCCAAATGGAGGAGCTGCTGGCGATTGCATGACAGCCTACCATGGCACACAGATGAACTCTCCTGAAGATGTCATTCACCACTTTTGCAGTGCAAAGGTGAGTGTTGTATGGTTCATAAAATACCTCCATTACTGATGTATTCCTCAGGATTTGTTTATAGTCACAAAGGCACTTGCACAGGTGTACCCCCCATAATTTCTGGACATACGTGAAATGTCTGCACAGGCCGACCTTCAAAGTGTAGGCGAACATGGGTTTTCAGTATACTACTGCTATGATTACCGGGCTAGTCTTCATTATGATCGGGACTCATCATGGACAGTTGCTGCCCAGATTATCAAGTCATCTTCCCTGGTCACAGAAGAATATTGCTTTGCATTGCCAGAGTGGGGAGTGTATATCCAAAGCAATGAGAACTGTGTATGGTAAGCGTTGCAAGTGGTCTATGTGCATGGGCTTTGAGGCTAATTGATTGTAGGGGCTTTGATTCATCTCATCTTCATGGTTCTATCCATCCCCACTGGTTTGCAGCAATAAGGTCCACATAGATGACCTCCAGTCTGGTGGAGTTGCTGCTGTCCTTCGCAAGATTAACATCACCACTGGGGAACGATACCACTATCTCCGGCAGACCATAGAGCAACGAGCAAAGTATTTGAGAGAATATATTCCCAGATCCATGGATGTATTGTAGTACATATTTTACTACAGTGGACAAGTGTTGGAGATTCTTGGACAATGATGTGTGAGGGCCTGACCTATATACCTGCAATGTTGTGATGTTGCACATCTGTCGGAGTCAATTCAATCTCCACAACATAGGAGGCGCACTGTTGAGCGCAGAGAGGGTCGCACTGTGAACGCAGACAGGGGAGAGCGCTGTTGAGCATGGGCAAGGGGGCACTCTGTTGAGTGCAGGCAAGGGGGCACTCTGTTGAGCGCAGGCAGTCACGCGCCACATTGGACGGGGCGTTTTTGGCCCACGCATCACGGCACACCGGTCTGCCTCTGAACGACGTGAGTGGCGCCGAGCTGGGCATGCGGGTGGTCAGCAGGCTCACGAGGCCGGCCACCGCTGCGCCTCCATGGGACAAGGAGGAGAGGTAGGAGGGGGTGTCATGCTGAAGACAAGGATAATCGGGTTGGAGACGGGCAAGGTGGAGTGTGCGACGGGGCCTTGGCACTGCGTGCAGACGGCGGCAAGGTGGGAGAGGTACCAGGGGGGCGAGGAGGGGGCGACAGTGAGGAAGTTGCAGATGTAGATGATGCGCAGGCGGTGGCGGCAGGGAGGGGGGTGGTGTGGGGGTGGTGGTGGTGTCGGACGAGTTGGAGGAGGGAGATGGAAGTGTTGGAGGACGCACAAAGTTGACGAGCTTGTTGAAGAAGGCTTTGAGCCGGGAGGAAGTTGTTCCCTGCGCACTCGCAACAAGGAAGGTGCGCGTGCCACCGTCGGGTCAGCTGTGCACAGTCGGGGACGAGATCTGGATTGTCATGCATGAGGGGAAGGCGAGGCGCTCCAGGTCGACTTTGTCGCTGTCCCCAAGCGCGGCGGACCGGTTGGACCAAGGGGGTGTGGTTGTGGGCAGCGTGGGCACAGGCGAGGTGAAGTGGAGCGGGTTGGAGGAGCGCTGGAGGACGTCCACTGTGGGGGAGGGGAGAGAGAGTGAGAGAGTGAAAGAGTGAAAAGGAGCCAATTAGGGATATCAAGTACGGTGGACGACACACAAACAGCTCACCTTTGCTGAACTGGCCGTGATTGCTGCCGGTGAGTTGGACAGCGTCAAGGGCGACGACGTCCATGCCCGGCGGCAGCACTGTGGAGATTGGTGGTGGCAGTGCTGTGGAGCCCGGTGTCGGCAGCACTGTGGAGCCCGGTGCTGCCCACGCTGTAGAGCCTGGTGCTGCCTGCAATGTTGAGCACAGTGCCACCTGCGCTATGGAGCGCGATGCTGCTGCAATGTCGAGCCCAGTGCTGTCGAGCGCTGCGTTGGCAGCGCTGTTTGTGTTCGGCACTGTGGAGCCTGGTGCCGCCTGTGATGTCAAGCCTGGTGTTGCCTGCGATGTCAAGGGTGGTGACGGTGGCGCTGTGGAGCAGGGTATTGGCGGCGCTGTGGAGCCCGGTGCTGCCTGCGATGTCGAGCCCGGTGCTGTCGAGCGTGGCGTTGGTGGTGCTGTTTGTGTTCAGTGCTGTGGGGTGCGGTGTCGGTGGGGGCACTGTTCAGCATGGTGGCCATGGCACTGTTGAGCAGGGGGGGGCACTGTTGAGCGCGGTGGCAGCATTGTTGAGCACAGTGTTCGGTGCTGTGGAGCGCGTGGGGCACAAAGCCGAGCGGCCCGGTTGATACTGGTCACGTGACTGGTTGGTTTCTTGAGCGCAAGTTTCTGGCTTCTCCATCCCGGCGTCTCTCCCAGAGTTTAATACCTAAAGTGAACCTTTTGAAGGACAAACAAGTGCCGGTGATGGTCTACCCCAATGGAACATTCTCTTGCATTACTGCATTAGATATGAACCTTGGTTCCTCAGTTTCTGTTTGGATAGATTGTCAATGGTGTAAGTGTCTTCAAGGGAGGTTTGCCAAGGGAATAGACTATGATGGGAAGTGTTGTGAATGATTAGTTGCATGCCATTATTATCTATAAGCATCAAATATTGACATTTTTATGGTTTGGCCTGTACTGATGTTCGATTTCACAGGCCAAAATACTTTGTATGGGTTATGTGACTACGCTGGGGATAGAGGACAACATATATTTATGGTGGGTTTTATTGCATATACATATCAAAACAAGAACAAAGTCTGATGTAACAGTTCAGGTGGCTTTGGCCTTACCCTTGCCCTTTGACTTTATATCAGTCACCTTGGATGACTTCTTTGGTGACTGTCAAGATCGAGACGGAGCTAAGTCCGACGCCGGAGGTGTGACGTCCGGACCTAGCAAGATGATCGTCGGAGTCAGGTCGGAAGAGAGTCGGAGTGAGTCGGAGAATGTCGGAGCAGAGTTTCGAGATACAGAGAGTGAGTGCGAGTACGGACCAGACTCAAGCTTTAAGGCTAGAGTCGCTACGCGCTCTAAGTCCGTGTCGGAGCAGAGGAGTAACTTAGTCGATATTCGAACTAAGGAGCTAGAGTACAGGAGCTAGGAGTTTATATACGCGGAGGCACGGTTCGGAGCTCGTATCGATAAGGAGTTATCGGAACTATGAACCATGTGGAACAATCAATCGTAAAGACGGAGCATATGGTTACGAAGCTGATAATCGGAGGTAGAATAAGTCCGAAGGGAATATCAAACCGTTAAAGGCATATCGATCGTGAACGTCGGAGTTGAATCCGTTATGACTCGAGAACTACCGGGACGTTGAGTCGCCGGAGGACTATTCATGTGATAATGTAGGTCCGGTACCGGAGCTGCTACTCCGATGGCGGACAACCCGGAACGACCGGAGCTATCGTACTTGGCCTGGTTATGGCCCAAGATCCGACACGTGACAGTGACTCATTGC